TGTGATATGAAAAGCAGAGTCTACTATATCTAATATGTCCATATATTTCCTTATAATGCTTACAGTTTTCATGAAAAGGCATAGTGGGTACACAAATATTCAAACTATTTGTTCCTTTCATATTGTTCCTTTAAATTTGTCTTTACCATTAATAAAATACCCTTTCTCTTACCTGCTTTCTATTTTAACTGAACCCAAAATATGAGTGGTAAATAAACACTGATTATTTATTTATTGCTTTATCAATTCATAACTGTGTTTTTCATTTTTAAAATAATTTTTAAGTGCGCCCCTTGTTTCCTTCTACAGTGTGGATGCAATTGACTCAATTTACTCATTCTTTTTTTGTGTGTGCTGGTCCTGGGGGCTTGAACTCAGGGCCTGGGCACTGTCTTTGAGTTTCTCTGGCTCAAGGCTAGCACTCTACCACTAGCACTCTACCACTTGGGCCACAGTACCCCTTCTGGCTTTTGATGAGTATTTTACTGGAGTTAAGAGTATCATGGGCTTTCCTTCCCCAGGTTAGCTTTGAACCACAATCCTCAGATCTCAGCCTAGGATTATGGATGTGAGCCACTGGCACCCAGCTCACCTACATTATATGATGCACAAATCTATCTTACTCTATATTATACTGAGAGTCTGTGTGGTTTTGTGCGGATTAAGAGTTGTTCCAACATACCTAAGTACTTGTTAAAAGGCCTCCTTGCCAGGTTTGTTCTTGGATGGAAACCAGAAACTTAAAATTTCTAAAGGATTTCCAAGATTCTCAAAAATATCTCAGAAGAGTTTACTGTGCTCAAACTATTTGTATATATATGGTGACTTAGGCTGAACACCTGTTTCCCCTCTAAAAGTCTGGACTTTCAAGGGTGATACTAGACCAAAGGTGCCGATGTGAGCAGTCCACGATAAAAATCTTGACTATCTAGTCTATAATAAACGTTCCTAGTAGACAGCATCTCACTTTAAAACTGTCTTTACTATTAACAAAAATGTTCTTTTTCTTATCTTCAGCCCTTTTACTCATTTTATTCACTGCTGGGAGAATCATGTATGTACTATAAAAACTCATGAATCTTGTGTGTAATCTCCTGTGGACTTGCCCCAGGCTTTGTCTCTGATTTTCCTTTGTATCTTTCCTGTTAAATTTAGTCATGAATACGACTTTCCATGAATCAGTGAACCTTCTGGCAATATTCAACAACTCACCTGGGGAATTTGGGCTTAGAAGTTTGTTCTCCTTATTTAATGACCACAGATTGTCTCCTTATTCCAACTTGAAGATCAGTTCTGGTTTTGTAGAGCAGTACCCTGCAAAAAGGAAATAATTCAGAACTCGAGTTAGCTGTAAAGTTCCCCTGTTCCTAAGTGTGAAGTACTCAATGTAAGTGTGTGTGTGTGTGTGTGTGTGTGTGTGTGTGTGTGTGTACATGGGTGCTGGTACTAGGGCTTGAACTCAAGGTCATTCCATGGTGCACCCACCACAAGGATGATCCTCCTCCTACTGAGGATGATGAGAACAAAGAAAAGCATACAGATGATATTCCTCTTTGGGACCAAGAATTCCTGAAAGTTGACCAAGGAACACCTTTCAAACTTATTCTGGCTGCAAACTACTTAGACATAAAGGTTTGCTTGATGTCACATGTAAGACTGTTGCCAATATGATTTAAGGAGAAAACTCCTGAGGAGATTTGCAAAACTTTCAACATTAAGAATGACTTTTCTGAAGAGGAAGAAGCCCAAGTATGCAAAGAGAACCAGTGGTGTGAAGAGAAGTGAAATGTGCCTGACACTGTAACATTACAAGGATTGTTCCAAATACTAGTTGCACTGCTCCGTTTATAATTGTTAATATTAGACAAACAGTAGACAAATGCAACAGCACATCAATTGTATTAGCGTAATATTGTCCTCGTTGCATGTGTAGTTTGAATACACATCCCAAACTTTGGCTGAGTCTCTTCTAGTCCGAGTGAAAGCTTCTCTTTTTTTTTTTTTTCTTTTTTTTTTTTTTGGGTCCGGTCGTGGGGCCTGAACTCTGGGCCTGGGCGCTGTCCCTCAGCTCTTCAGCTCAAGGCTAGCACTCTACCACTTGAGCTATAGCGCCACTTCTGGCTTTTTTTCTTATGTGGTGCTGGGGAATTGAACCCAGGGCCTCATGCATGCAAGGCAAACGCTCTACCACTGAGCCATCTTCCCAGCCCCGAAAGTTTCTCTTTTCTGAAAAAAAACAATTGTGGGTTCTCTGTGGAAAGTGGCATTTTAGGATTTCTCTCTTTCTGTAAGAGCAATTTCTGCCTAGTTTATTGTCTAGTTAACTTTAGTTAAGCTTGCAGAAGTTGGCATTGTAAATAAAACAAGTGGCAACAAGGTTTCTGATAGAATTAACAAAAGAGATCTTTATTTACAAATTGGAAACTGAAAAAAAGGCTACTTGAAGTTAATGTTCTTAGTGGGATTTTTAGTATATTGTCTAGAGTCTAGTAGCCAGGATCACCCGTTATGTATGAACCAGGACTCTTAATTGGATCTGAGAACTCTCTTTTCACCTAATTGTTAATCTCAACTTTGAATATGTTGCCTAGAGATTCAGTTACTACCGAGTTTATGTGGAGTTTTGGGGGGAGAAATGTAACTAGACAACTGGTTAGCTTTTTTATTAAAAACATTTAATTTATGTGGTATGTCATCTTTTCCTGATCAGGATTTTTAAAATAAATAAATAATACATAGAAATGTAGTCATTATCTGACTTATATAACTGTAACCCCTCTGTATATCACTTTTACAATAACAATAAAAAATAAAAATATCTGAGTGTTGGTGGCTGGCTCATCCCAGGAGGCTGAGATCTGAAGATCTAGGTTTGAAGCCAGTCCAGGCAAACAAATCTGAGAGACTCTTATTAACCAACAATAGCAACAACAACAAAAGCCAGAAGTACGGCTCAAGTGATGAGTGCCAGCCTTGAGTGGAAAAAGCCAAGCAAGAGCACCAGGCTAAGTTCAAGCCCCACACCAGCACAATTTAAAAAAAAGTTTCAAGTTATTTTAAAAGGTCTAAATACATACACACACACAAACATATACAATGTCTAGGGAGCACAACTTTTGTTCTATTAATAGTCCCCAGGTAACTTAGCCTAAATGTCAATCTTTCTAAACCTCTTTCAAAGAGCTTTCTCTTTCCTTTTTTCCTTTCTCTCTCTCTCTCTTTCTTTCTTTCTTTCTTTCCTTCCTTCCTTCCTTCCCTTTCCTCCCCTTCCCACTCCCCCTCCCCGCTCCTCCTCCTCCTCCTCCTTGCCAGTCCTGGGTCTTGAACTCAGGGCCGAGCACTGTCCCTGAGCCTCTTTTACTCAATTCTTGCCCTCTACCACTTGAGTCACAGCACCCCTTCCAGCTTTTTCTGTTTATGTGGTACTGATGAATCGAACCCAGGGCTTCATGCATGCTAAGCAAGCACTCTACCACTAAGCCATCTTCTAAAGAGATTTTTCTTTAAACTTTCTTCTATGTGGGATCACATTAAGAACCAGTCCTTTCCCACCCCTAAAGAAGGTCAAAGGACAGGTGACAGTTCATTCAGAGACAAGGACAACTTTCAAGATCAGAAGGCACTACCAAAAAACAGTAGTTAGAGCAGGATCAACAGTTCTTATGGCTGTTACACATCTGTCCACTAGATGGAGCTATTAGACATCTTCTGGCTTTAGCTCCTAGTTGTACTATGCTTATATTTCTTTCTGACACAGGCACTGTGGCTCCTTGTTTTACTTAGGTGCTTCAGGTGCACCTAATGACACCCATGCCTCAATGCAGTGACTGATGAGTGGCCAATCAGACAGCAGAGCACCCTAAACCCATCAGGATTAAGCAATGGACAGGAGAAAGGGGTGTGAGTGGGAGGGAACATTAACAGGGGCCCAACAATTAGGAGACCATGCAGGTCTTCAAACTAGCCCATCCCAAGAGTCCTATCTCCTGATGCCAGAAAAGGCTTACCTCCCAGTCCTTGTGACTTAGGTAAATAGCTAAATCCACATAGGATCTGTATGTGAGCCAACCACTAGTGATTCATGCCTGTGGGTCATAGCTATTCATAAGGCTGAGATGTGAGAATCACTGTCCAAAGCCAGCCCTAGCAGACAAAGTAAAAAGATGGAATTGGAGGTGTGGCTCAAGTGGTAGAGTGCCAGCCTTGCATAAAAAAGCTAAGTGACCAGCTCTAGGACACACACTCTCTTTTAATCTCTCTCTCTCTCTCTCTCTCTCTCTCTCTCTCTCTCTCACACACACACACACACACACACACAGGTTTGGATGTGAAAGTTCATACATAGCAGCTTTATTCATAATAGTTCCAAACTAAAAAATCAGATAAGTCTATCAGTCGATAAAGAATAACGAATTGTGACAGACACACACAAAGGATGCTCAACAGAAAAAGAATAAATTTCTAATATACATAAATATGTAAGAGCCTCAAAAGCATGATGTTGAGTCAGGTGCCTGTGGCTCATCCCTGTAATCCTAGCCCTGTAATCCTAGCTACTTAGGAAGCTAAGATCTGAAGATCGCAGTTTGAAGCAGGCCTAGGCAGAAAAGTCCCCATGAGACTCTTATCTCCAATTAATCTCTCAAAAACCAGAACTGGCAGAGAGGAGTAGGGGAGTGGGGGGGGGGGGGGGGGGGGCAGTGGCTCACGCCTGTAATCCTAACTATTCAGAAAGCTGAGATCTGAGAATGGCAGTTCAAAGCCAGCCTGGGCAGGAAAGTCCATTAGACTCTTATCTATCTCCAATAAACCACCAGAAAACGAAGTGGCACACACAAAAAAAGTATACATAGTTAATGATTCTATTTATATAAAATCAAATGAAAAAGAAAAATTATTGCCACAGAATGCAGGACCATTGATGGAGAGAAAGGACTCCCCCAAAAGAGCTACAAGGTATCTTTGGGGGGGGGGCGGGGATGATGGAAACATTCCAAGCCTTAATTATGATAGTAATCCACTGCATACATTTTGTCACAGAAGATGGTGTGCTCACCCACAGACACGAGATGGCTGTAGATCTCCAACATCACGTCTCTGTACAGGGTCCTGTGCGCAGGGCCTAGGCACTGCCGCCACTCCTCCTCGGTGAGGTCCACACACACATCCATGAAGGGCACTGATGCCTGTGACAACACAGTTCTAGTCAACATGGTGGTTAAGAATCAGGAGCAGGAACTAATTGACTATGCTCACTGTGGAGAGACGAAAGTGAATGCCCTAAAGGATACCTATCATGGCCCTAAATCTGTCTTATAGTTTGGGGATACATAGTGAGCACAAACTTGATTTTAATACAGTTCTATTTTTATTTGTTTTTTTTTTTAATTACACATTGCCTCTCTGTGTGTGTACATATGCGTGCTAGTCCTAGCTCTGACTCAGGGCCTGAGTCACTGAGCTTTTTTGCTCAGGGCTAGTGCTCTATCAATTGAGCCATGACTCCACTTCCAGCTTTTTGCTGGTTAAATGGAGATAAGAGTCTCATAGATTTTCCTGCCCAGGCTGGCTTTGAACTATGATCCTCAGAGCTCAGCCTCCTGAGTAGTTAGGATTCCAAGTATGAGCTACCAGTATCCAGCTCACATATTGCCTTTTAACATACTGAGGAAGTTTCATGCCTTACAATTTTATTATTATTATGAATAGGATTCCTGTATGCATTTTCAACACATTATGCAGAGTACTCTATATACTACAAACAACCCAACCAAGTGGATCCCTGCTGGATCCAGGAGGGACAACTGAAGAGGTACAGGTAAGCCAGAACAGTACTACACAAAACCACATTTACATTCAGGAGATATACTCGAGAAAGCTAGTCCTGAGACAGAACAGCTATGGTAAGGTGATGGAGAAACTAGAAAATATATCAATTAACCTGAATAGGAACTAAAACAGAACTAGGAAATAAGGCTGGAAAAAAAATCACTACAACAGCAAGGAAATGAATCATTGTTCAAGAATGTACAGAACTGGGTTGTCAGTGGCTCACACCTGTAATCCTAGCTATTCAGGAATCTGAGACCTGAGGGCAAGAAAGCCCATAAGACTCTTATTTTAAATTAACAACAAAATAAAATAAAAAGAAATGAAAGTAGCAAAAACTTTAAGCAAAAGAGGCTCAGGGACAATACCCAGGCCCTGAGTTGAAGCCCCAGGAGCCTAGGACTAGCATACCAAAAAAAAGAACGTACCCACCTACAGTCTTTTCATCCATCACCCTGCTACTTGCAGAATGCTTCACCCTAGACATTTGTATTCAGCCTTTCCAAACTCAGTTGAGATGTCACATATCTTCAAATTAAGATATTTATGAGCCAGGATCCAGTGGTTCACACCTATAATCCTAGTTTCTCAGAAGGAGGCCGAGATCTGAGGATCATGGCTGAAAGCCAGCCTAGGCAGTAAAGCCCAGAAGTGGAAATGTACCTCAAAGTGTTGGAGCACAAGCCAGCCTAGAGGAAAAAAACAACAAAAAGCTCAGCAAGAGAAGGAGACTTGCCAGTCGCTGATGGCTTACACCGTTAATTCTAGCTACTCAGGAGACTGAGATCTGAGGATAGCAGTTCAAAGCCAGCTCAGGCAGGAAAGTCCATGAGACTCTTATCTCCAATAAACCACTCAGAAAACCAGAAGTGGCACTGTGGCTCAAGTGGTAGAGCGCTCACTCAGCTGAAGAGCTGAGGGACAGCGCCCAGGCCCAGAGTTCCAGCCACAGGACCAACAACAAAAAAAAAAGAGCAGGAGACTCTGAGTTCACATACTAATACTGGAGTGAGACAGAGAGAAAGAGAAAGAGAAGGGAGGAAAGGGAGAGAGAAAGAGGAAGTGAGAGGAAAGAAGGGGGGAAGAAAAGAGGAAGAGATTTATGTCTACTCATAACATTCTCTTCTGGTTTGTATAGTATACTTCATCATATACTAAGACCATATTGGTTTAATTATTGAAGCCTTATAAAAGACTTCAGTATTCAGTGTACAAGCCCTATAATATTGCCTATTATTCAACATTTCCTGTCTATATGCTTATGCTTAGTTTTCCCTAGCAATTTTTTAACCAAAATAAGCAATATATATCAATATATATAATAAAAAGGGTAATATGAAGTACTTAGATTTGAGGCAGGTTAAGTCTGAATTAATTAAAAATGGATATATCACAGCCAGGCATCAGTGGCTCACACCTGTAACCATACCTACTCAAGAAGCTGAGATCTGAGGATCACAATTCTAGGACAGCCAGGGAAGGAAAGTCTGAGACGCTTATCTCTAATTAACTATCAAAAAAGCTAGAAGTGGAGCTGTGGCTCAAGTGGTGGAGGTGTTCAATGCACACTCAGAACTAACCTTCAGTTTTGCCAAACTGATAAGTGTATGGGACCTACTTACTTTAGCAAAGGTTGTCTATCAAGAGGAAGTAGCAAACCTGAGTTTGAGTTCTCTTTCTAGTTTCCCTTTTCAGTTAATGCATGGACCCTTCTAAACCTTATAAATGCATTAGATTACAAAGTGGGGAATGAATAAAGCAGTCACCTGAGATGTGTTCATTTTCTGAGGCTCTTGGAGAGTGCAGAACTGAGAGGGCTCGGCTAGGGAGAGAGAAGATGACTCAGGTCATCAGATCAACCCACCTCACAGCCCCTAGATACCCTTCCTCAAACTTCACAAATCCCACTTGCAGCCATGCACTGGTGGCTCACATCTGTTAAGACCAGCCCAGGCAGGAAAGCCTCTGAGGCACCTGTCTCCAATTAACCACCAAAAAGCTGGAAGTGGAGGTATGGCCCAAGAGGTAGAACACTAGCCTTAAGGAGAAAAAACTCAGAGGCAATGCCCAGGCCCTGAGTTCAACCAGTACAGCCAACACACACACCAAAAAAGAAATAAAGCACAGACACTATTCTTTTCTTAAAATTAACTTAGCAGGAAAATACTCTGTATCATATTTATTTTTCTTAGTAATGCTGTTTACTCCTTATGCGCACACAGGTGCACACACACAAATCCATAGCCATCCCTAGTCAAAGAGATGAGATGCTCTAACATTTTTGTTTGTTCTAATTGAATGTATTTCTCAAAAAAAAAAAAAAAAAAAAAAAAAGCCTTTTTAATGGCTCACCTGTGAGACAGTGAATTGTACTCTTTTCCTGTTACCAATTGACTATCCCCTGAAATGTCACTCAACCTTTAATATTCGGTGTTTTTAATGTTTCCCAGAGTTAAAAAAAAATTTTTAGGTAACTTTGAAAACCCAACAAAGTAAGTTCCTTCTGGAATTTTCTAAAGTCAAGATAAAATCACTAGTGTCTCCCAGGTTAGCAGAACATTAGAGAACAGAAGAGAGATCAACAGAATTGCCAACTTCTGCTTTGTATACCCCTTACCTGAGGGCTGATTTCCCCTCACAAATTAAAGCCATTAATTAGTCCTCCCCTGGGCCTCCCAGCTCATGCTTTTATTCCTAAAACTAACTCACACCCCTTATTGTCAGACAGACTGCAGTGGCTTCTGAAGACAGACCTGTTACTAAGTCTGGGTCTTTTGAGGCATTGAGGGTCAGGACCTGCTTCTTCCCGGGCTAGTGTCTCTGTTCTGAAACCCTGGAGAGAAGCCGAAGGGTAAAGAAGTTCTTTTCCAGGTAAAGCTCCTGTACACAAGGCCACTGCTTCCTACTTCACAAAGGATGAAGATGTATTTCAAGGAGCTGGACCTAAACCAATTTCATTTGGGGGCAAAATGTTGACTCTTTGGAATTCCTTATACCAAAGACCAGTTTCAGCCTGACACTGAAGTAACACTAAAAATCTTAGAATACATAGGACGCACGGAGCGATCACGTTTGCATTCACTTCCCATTCTATCCTTGTGTATTTGGGGACAGGTCAGCTCTGCTCAGGGCTGGGCGGGTGACAATGCTGGCTTGAAGCAGGTGTTGCAACAGAAAGCCTTGAGACTAGAAGCAAATCACATCTGCCCTGGAATCCACGAGGTCCTTCACCTTTAGCTTGTGCCCAGTACAGCTCCATCCACCCGAGCCTCAGTTACTGTCTTCATGATAGTACTCAATGCCAACCTCACAGCGTGACGTGACGTTTACACCCGTCAGCCAAGGAAACAACCGGGTCTTCTACACACAGTAGCGGTTGCCAATTACCTCGGGAAGTAGTAACCTCACCCGTGGCAGTGTGCTGCACAGGTGACGACATCGACGTTTCAAAACAGCAGCTGGAGGTGAGTGGTCCCCGCACACTCGGGTGACCTTGAGAACTCGGGCCTCGGCTCCGGGGTGACCTGGCGGGAACTGATCGGAGTCTTCCCAGCTCCAGAGCGGTGGGAGGCCTCACCTCAGACCCAGCGCCCGGGCGTTCGGGCACGTCAGTCATCGGCATGGCAAGCGTGCTCGGGCCGAGCTCCAGGCCCCGCACACGACAGCCCGCACCCGCTCGGGCCTGGGATGCCCGGAGATGGGAGGCGTCCTTCTCCAAGGGCCTTCCGCCCTCCAGGGCCCCGTGCGGCTCAGTCAAGAGCACGCTGGGCAAACGCACAAGACATTTCCGCCGAACACATGCACACCCCCTCCGGACTGCTCCCAGGGCTCTCACCCCAAGTGCGCGCCCCTTCTTGCCGAGCACACCCCGAAAAGGACGAGCAGCCAACGCTCGGGGCCGAGAAGCCCACTGAGGAGGCGGAGCTACCGGGGGCACATGCGCAGAAAGCAGCGTGAGTCCCGTGCCCAAGGTGCAATGGCGGTGAAACACCCTCAAGACTACATTTCCCATAGGCCTCTGCGTCCACAGTAGTTGCGCATTAGCTTTTCCTGGCCTTGGAAAGCTGAAAGATGTGGTTGTTGAATGTCATTGTCTACAGTAATCTGAGAGCTTGTCGGTTATACCTGACCTATCTCGTCTGGATGAGATAACAGCATTTTGTACGTTCCTTCAGAGGACTTGTGTTTGGCTTAATCTAGTCAATCAGTTTTTTATTTATAGTGTAAGATAAAAGATCAAGCTTTGGGAGGGGGGAGGCTGGGAAGGGAGGTGAAGGGTAAACAAAGGAGGAGGCAGCAATGCTTGGTAAGAAATGTATGCATTATCCTGCCCATGTAATTGTAACCCCTCTGTACAGTATGTTCTCAAATAAAATAAAATTAAAAAAAAAAAAAAGATCAAGCTTTTGCACGTGGATATCCAGTTTTCCTATCAGCAGCCTTTTCCTTGTGTATTGTGTTGGAGATTAGTTGAATTCATGAATAGGGATTTCATGGTTTTAAGTCCTGTTCCCGTGTGTGTGTGTGTGTGTGTGTGTGTGTGTGTGTGTGTGTGTGTGTGTGTGTCTTCGTGCCAGTATCAAATTGTTTTGCTTACTATAGCTTCACAACAAATTTTGAAATCAAGAAGTATAATATGGGGGGGGGGAGGGTTCGGTGGGGGGGAGGCTGGGAAGGGATGAGAAGGGTAAACAAAGGAGGAGGCTGCAATGCTTGATAAGAAATGTACTCATTATCTTGCCCATGTAATTGTAACCCCTCTGTACAGTATGTTCACAAAAATAAAAATTAAAATTAAAAAAAAGAAGAAGTATAATATCTTCTGCTTGCTCTTTCTCCCATGATTGTTTTGGCTATTTTAGATCCTCTGTGATTCTACATGAATTTAAGAACTGATACCTCGCATTAAAAATAAAAAAGTCATTTTCCCCCTATGGTATATACCCTGTTGTCACTGTATTTAGATTCTTTTGGTACCCTGCATCTTATATATACATTTATCTAATTTGGGGAGGGGAAGGAGAATAACCAAATGCTGAAATAAGGACACAGGATGACCCATTGCAACAATGAGACTCACAAGACATTATGTTGGAAAATGGCGGGGGGGGGGGGGGGGGGGGGGGGGGGGGGGGGGGGGGGGGGGGGGGGGGGGGGGCAGGGGTGGTGGAGAAGGGAAGGGATAGTAGGAGAAAAACAAAGGAGGAGGTAACAATGCTTGACAAGAAATGTACTAATTACCTTACTCCTGTAACTGTAGCCCCTCTGTACAGCATTTTTATTATAAAATAAAATGTTAAATCATTGAAATTTTGATAGGCATTGAGTTGACTTCCAAATTGCTTTGGATAGTGTGGAATTTTTAGCCATGTGAAATCCTGTAATCCATGACCACAGAATGTTTTTCCATTCCTCTGTCATCTTTAATTTCTTCCAAAAATGTTTTGTAGTTTTCGGTAGTTTTTTCCCTAAATATGATATAGTTACTGCATTTTGTTCTGGTGCTGGGGTTTGAAATCAGGGACCTACTTCTTGCTTAGCCTTTTCCACTCAAGGCAAGCTCTGTACTTCTTGAGCCATAACTCCACATGAGGGATTTTGCTGGTTAATTGGAGACCAGACTGGGATATTTTTATGCCCAGGTTGGCTTCCAACCATAACCCTCAGATTTTAGCCTCTTGAGTATGTAGGATTTGGCATTAGACACTGGCACCTATCTTTTTTAACATTATTTTAAACAGAATTTTTCCCTCACTTCCTTTTCAGATAGTTTATGGTTGGTGTATACAAATGCATCTGGTTTTAGTATGTTTTTACATCATGGCACTTTGCTGAATTTAATTTATTTATTAATACTAACAGTTTCAGGCTTTTCTGTATGTTAGATCATGTTATCTACAAGCAAGCTCAATTTTACCTATTTCTTTCTAACCAGTATCTATTTTCATTCTTTTCTTGGCTATTCTCCTGGTCAGGACTTAGAGTGGGCATCCTTGACTTATCAAAGATGTGGTCCACACTGGCCTTGAACTCATGATCCTCTTGCTACAGTCTCCAAAGTTGTTGGAATTACAGGTATGTACAACAATGCCTGTATTATATTGAGTAGTCTTTTAGTTTTATCTAGAGTTTCGTATGAAAAATCATATGTGTCTGGATTCTTCTTCACTTAGGATAAAGACTTTGAGATTTCTCCTTTCATTGAGTATCAACAAACGGAAGTAGGGAGGTCAGGTCTGTCAAGCACCATATTGGCCATATGGTGAATGGTTGAGTCTGGCATCTCATCTTCATGCTGGGGGAAGGTGATGCCCCTGCCTCGCAGGTGATGGGCCTGCCCAGGTCCTTGGAGACAGGGGCAGGTACTTGGCTGATAAGTTACTGAACCTGTCAGTCCAGCCTGAGACTGAGAGTGTCCTGTGACCCTGCCCCTGCCCTGACCTTATTTAGGCCCAAAGATGCATAGAGGCCATTACACCATGCCACATGTTTTTGTGTTTGTGTCCTGTGTCCTATCTCCTGGCTTGTCTTTGGTCACCATGGTGTCCCTATTCAGCTCTCCATTGGAGCTGAATTGGTTTGTTGGTATTGCTTTTTATCCTTTCTTTCCTCTCTGGCTTGTTTGCTAGCTGTGTTGTGTATTTGTGGGCTACAGGCCTTTGTAACAACTGGCTGCCTGCAGACTGCTACTTGTGTAATAAAGACTCCAAGATTTGATCCTTCAAAATGTGGCTTCTCTGATAATTTACAAGAAAAGCAAGATCAGCCTCACACAGGAAGAAATCATGCTTATGAGATCACAGTATAGCCTCTTGGGCCCTATGAGTTCAGGCTGTATCTGAATCCAAGACTTCTGTTCTCCAAAACTATAAGAATATAAACTAAGCCAGGTACTGGTGGCCTACACTGGCTTGATGCCCCCTAAGTACAATAAATAATAAAGGCACAGAGCAGTAGAGTGAATGCAAAATGACACAGCCACTTTGAAAGTCAATTTGGCAGTTTCTCATGATATACGTTTTTGTGAGACTCAGGGATTCTACTTATTCTGTGGTATTAATCCAAGAAAATGAAGACATACATCCCCCACCAATAAACATGAAGATGAATAATTAATGGGAATTATCCACACCCACCAGAAAAGATAAGTAAAGAAGATAATAATAAGCTGTATCACTATTCATCCTAGATAGATAGATAGATAGATAGATAGATAGATAGATAGATAGATAGATAGGCAGATAGGCAGATAGATAGGAAGATAGATAAAGTCATGTACCAGTATCTCACATCTGGAATCCTAGCTATTCAGGAGGCTGAGATCTGAGGATCATGGTTCCATAACCAGTCTATGAGGCTCTTACTCCCAGTGACCACCAAAAAGCCAGAAGGGGATCTGTGGCTCAAGTGGTAGATCTATCTAGCCTTGAACAAAAAGCTAAGGGACAGCTGCCAGGCACCAGTACAAGCACAGACACACACACACACACACCAACAACCCTGCAAGTATCAAACTGAATGACACTCTATGGTTCCTAAATCTCTCACAAACTATGTAGCTCTGGGCAATTCTCTTACACTCTTAAGTACAAATTCTTAAAAGCATTCAATGAGTCAGAAATAATGGTTATGACTTCCAACTCTAATCCACTGTGTGGAAAGAAGGCCTTTATGGAAGTAATTATGATTAAATGAAGCCATAAGGTAGCTGAACAGACATGTACCCTTCCTAAAAACCATCTCTGGGAGATCCTGTGAGGTCAGGATAATGAGCACATAACTAGTATCACATGGGGCAATGGGCATGTGTAAAAACACAGCAGCATTTGTAAAGAGTAGAGAAGCACCACCAGATACCAGTGGCACATGTCTATAATCCTAGCTACTCAGGAAGCTGACATCAGAGAATCTGCCAGCCTGGGCAGGGACTCTGTGTGATTCTCATCCAATGAACCAGCAAAAACAAAAAAAACTGGAAGTTGAGATATGACTCATGTGATAGAGGATGAGCCTTGAGTCAAAAAGCTAAAAAGGAGGGGCTGGGAAGGTGGCTCAGTGGTAGAGCGCTTGCCTTGCATGCTCAAGGCCCTGGGTTCGATTCCTCAGCACCACATAAGCAAAAAGAAAAAAGCCGGAAGTTGCGCTGTAGCTCAAGTGGTAGAGCGCTAGCCTTGAGCTGAAGAGCTGAGGGACAGCGCCCAGTCCCAGAGTTCAGGCCCCACGACCAGACCCCAAAAAAAAAAAAAAAAAAAAGCTAAAAAGGGGCTGGGAATGTGGCTTAGTGGTTGAGTGCTTGCCTAGCATGCATGAAGCCCTGGGTTTGATTTCTAAGTATCTCAAAAACAGAAAAAGCTGGAAGTGGTATAGAGCACTAGCCTTGAGCACAGAAAGGCTCAGGGACAGAGCTCAGGGCTTGAGTTCAAGCCCCAGTATCGGCCAAAAAACAAAAACAAAAAACAATAAACAAAACCTAGAGACACTACCAAGGCCTTGAGTTCAAGTTTAGTACTAGAAAGAAAGAAGGAAAGAAAGAAAAAAGAGAGGGGGTGAGGAAGGAAGGAAAGGAAGGAAAGAAAGAAGGAAAGAAAGAAAGCAAGCAAGCAGAGAATCAAGAAACTGAGCACTGCCTCCAGGTAGACACAATTTCCCCCACCTGCCTGAGGATTCCTTCCACTGATACCTGCCCCTCACAAATTCTACATCTTTTTAAAGCTAGAACAGATATTCCCTGTCAGAATCTTTGTTGCCTTCTACAAGTAATAGCATTGCTAATTCAGGCTTATTCTGGAAAAGATCAAGAACTGCTATGAATACCTGCTCCTACCTGGTATTGTGGTTATCGTTGTTTGTGGTACTAGGACTTGAACTCAGGGGCCTTGTGCTTATGAGGCATGCACTCTAGCAAGTCAGCTTCTCCTCTTCCCCTTTTGACATTTATAGCCCAAGTTGGCCTCAATCTTGCTTTGTAACCCAGGTTCTAGTCTCATACTGGCCATATTGAGCAGTATGAATCATCAGGTCTAGCTTTACCTGGGATTTTCTGCCTCTGCTCCAAAGGTCTAGAGTCAGAGAAGGTCTCTTTTCATGTAAGATTTCTGTCTCCAGGGGCAGCCGCTTGCTTGCTTGCTCGCTCTCCATCTTTCTTTCTTTCTTTCTCTTCCTTCCTTCCTTTCTTTCTTTCTTTCCTTTCTTTCTTCCTTCCTTCCTCTCTCTCTTTCTCTCTCTCTTTCTTTCTTTTGCCAGTCGTAGAGCTTGAACTCAGGGCCTGCACACTGTCCCTGAGCTTCTTTTGCTCAAGACTGGCACTCTACCACTTGAACCACTTGAACCACTTCTAGCTTTTTCTGTGTATGTGGTACTGAGGAATCAAACCCAGGGCTTCATGAATGCTAGGCAAGCACTCTACCACTAAGCCACATTCCCAGCCCATCTGCTTCTTTCTTACTGGAGCTGAATGCTTTAAAGTAAATTCATTTTCCAAACTGGGCCTTTTGAACTTCACTTTAGGACCATGAACTTGACCCTCTGAAATTCGCTATGTCAGACTGGAAACACAGATTGCTAAGTAGTACACGAGAGGCTAGGAGCATCTGTTTAACCCAGGGGATCTGAAAAGACACCACAAATTTGCAAGAAAATATTTGACCCCTGGTAAAAGCCCATTTCGATTCACAGCCCATATGTCTCTTACATGTTTGGAGACAGGTCATTCATTGTTCAGTGTGGTGAAGGCAGGTGTGGTATTAATTAGACAAAGCCTGAACCTGGAAGCAAATCACACCTGCCCTTGAATCATAGCTCACTTCCTCCCCAGTTTGTGACCTGAGAGCATGGCTCCATTATTGTGACCCTTGGTTTGTTGTGTTTAACACAGATGGTTATGCAGGTCTCCTAAAGCGACGTGAGGTTTACGTAAGTCATCCAAGGAAAACAAAGTGTGTTCTAAACATAAGAGCAGTTATCATTCAATCAGAGCTTACTAACCTATCATTGGCTGTTTGCTTTACTAGTGATGGCACCTAATTTCAAAATACTACCATGAGGTCATCGTTAAACCCTTGTAGATTCATATGAGAAATTTGACACTTAATCAGGACAAAGCTGGAATTTGTCCAGGTCTTTCTAGCCCCAGAGCTAGAGGGTCTCAGCACAAACTCTGCCCATGGGTTCTGGGAAATTAGTGATCAATGTCATACAAAAGCTTTTTCTGGGGCTGGGAATATGGTTCAGTGGTAGAGTGCTTGCCTAGCATGCACGAAGCCCTGGGTTTGATTCCTCAGTACCACATAAATAGAAAAAGCCAGAAGTGGCGCTGTGGCTCAAAGGGTAGAGTGCTAGCCTAGAGCAAAAGAAGCTCAGGGACAATGCCCAGGCCTTGAGTTCAAGCCCAGGACTGGCAAAACACACACACACACACACACACACACACACACACACACACACACACAACCTTTTCCTTCGGCCACCTACAAAGGCTTTCCTTAGGCCAGGCTGGGGTCAGGGTCCCACATATCTGGCCAGCACAACCTGATCACAGTGGTGGTTTAAACCTAGGCTGGTTGTGTCTGGTGTTCCCAAGCTTCCTGTTCTCACTTTTTGGGATCACAAATCTATTCCTATCTATAAATTTCCAGGCTGCAAAAGAAAATACTCTCTCTCTCTCTCTCTCTCTCTCTCTCTCTCTCTCACACACACACACACACACACACACGCACACACACACACACACACCAGGTGCATATAGGAGCTGTGATCACCTTCCCATAGGATCCTGCTAGGCAGAAGTGTGGAGGGGAGGAGGAGAAGGAAGGAGAGAAAAGCCTGCTCTTGCACAGAGGTGACCCAGAACACCAGTTCCAGGAATATGTATCCAGGTAAGGGTCCAGCAGATTCCATGCTACATTTTTCAAAAATCTCCTTACCTTCAGTTTATTTTGCAATTTTTTCCCCACTCAGGTAGATGACTGGGAGCCATTCTTGACTGTCAATCTCCCTTTGCCCAGATCCTCTCAAAGCCTAAGACCAAATTGTTAGGCTAAAGCCTAAAGTTCATTGTCAACCACAAAGTTGTGGCCCCTCTACCAAATCCTGATTGGAAAAGCAACAGATGTTGGGAACAATTTGGGAAATGTAAATGTAGACTGACAATTAGAAAACTAAAGAATATTACATTTATTCTCAACTGTTCAGCAGAATTATACTGAAATATATATTATATTTATGTATATTCTTGTGAAGGCATGGGCAATGGATATAAAACTGAAATTATCTTGTTCATTTACTTGAAATTTTTTTTGCTAAAATTAAAAGTTTATGTTCTTCCAAAACAAGAACAGGATATAAGAAGGGAGCTCATTTTATTTTTTCGTGTGTGTGTGTGTGTGTGTGTGTGTGTGTGTACTATGTACTTTTTCCCTGAGCCGGCTTTGAACCTTGATCCTCACATCCAGACTCCTGAGTAGTTAAAGATTACAAGGCATGAGCCACCAACACCTGAATGTAGTACTAGGGTTTGAATTCAGGGCCTCCTACTTGTTAGTCTAATGCTCTACCTCTTAAACCATACTCTCAGCCTTTTTTCTTTTTCTTTTTGCTTTGGTTATTTTGAGAAAGGGTCTTACGTTTTCTGCTTGGACTAGCCTTGGACTGAATTCCTCCTGATCTCTGCCACCCAAGTGTTGTACAGGAATCCAGTCATGAGAAAACAGAGAAGCCACATTTTGAGAGGTCGAATTGGGCGTCTTTATTAGAAAGCTGGCCGCTGCAGGTGGACTCCTGTCTCAAAGACCCACAGCCCAGTTCAGAAATTGCTTTTAAAGCCGTAACTACATGTTTGGGGTGGAGATCCAAATCCAACAGAAACAGAACATATAGGGAAATGCTCAGGTAACAACAGAACTTCCCATCTAGGGAAGTAGCTCCGGGGTGAGCTAAACTTTCTATATTGGGGGAGTGGGGAAGGAGATATGCCTCAAACTTAGAGAGATAATCAAGGACAAGTATTCTCTGTGGAGAAAGCTCTCCTGAGGCTAAAGAGCATGGCATCTGGGATTCAATAAATGGCCTCTCTCACCATTAAGCTTTTCAGAGCTGAGTGGAAAGCCCCTCCACCCAGCAAGGCACCAGGATGGCTATGAGAACCAGCGATGTTACTTAGACTCAGTCTCCTTATTTCACAAGTAGCTGGGATTAACTTGTGTTTCAAATAGTTTGTTTTGGATATAGCATATTGTTTGGGGTTGTTTTTCTTTTTTACTCCTTTATTCTGCAACATATCAGAATCTACTGCTATCAGCTTTTTGCTACAATAAATAGAATGTAGATGGTTGATGAACTTTTTGGTTCCTTAACTCCCTTTTATAATGTAGTTGTTTTGAATATTACTTCATATATTAAGATTCATATCAGATAGTGTTATTTTTATTTTAACCATCAAAATAATCGAAATACATAAGACATGAAGAATAACATGTAACGTGTTATGTATATAATATATTCGTTGTTGAGGTTTCCAATCAGCTGGTTGGGGTTCTTTTCTGCTATCCAGGTGAAAAGAAGTTCCTTTGGTGCTGGAGGTCCAGGGCCATTGAGTGGCCAAGGTCTAGAGGTTGGACTGCGTGACCCCAAAGCTAGTGGCCTATTAGTCTTTTTTTTTTTTTTGTCAGTCATGGGGCTTGAACTCTGAGCCTGGGTGTTGTCCCTGAGTTCTTCAGCTCAAAGAGAGCTCTTTACCACTTGAGCCACAGCGCCACTTCCAGTTTTCTGGTGGTTAATTGGAGAGGAAAGTCTTACGGACTTTCCTGCCTAGACTGACTTTGAACCATGATTCTCAGAGCTCAGCCTCTTTAGTAGCTAGGATTACAGGTGTGAGCCACTGGTACCTGGCGTGGCCTATTACTCTTGGCTTTAGAAACCTGAGACTTATGACTTTGGATCAGAGGCTTGCTTACTACATTGGTCTTTAATCACCAGTGACTCCTGCACTTGGCAGATACTCAATCCTCAGATCCCAACTACAGTGTGTAGTGGCAGCCGCAGGTAGCACCTGTCAGCATTTATAGCTAGTGTTCAGATGGCCAGTGTTTCAGTTCTTGAGCTTAGAGTCTTGTGACCCTCATTCCTCAACAGTGGCTAATGTGATAGCTTTTAGGCCTAGAATATTGGCTTTTGAGAGCAAATATCCAGCAACCAAGGCTACAGCTTCTCTCCTCTGGCTCTTCACAGCCTTCTATCTTTAGCTTCAACTTTCCACCCTCTCTTGCCTTTTTTCTACTTCTGGTGGCCCTCATCTCTGCCACCTCTACTCGCATTATTTCTGCCTTGGATACTCGCTGGAACTGTTTAGCTGTCTTTGTATCACTATCGATATCATCTCTATGGTGACATCCTGCTGCCACTGCTACTGCCTTTGCTACTGCTGCCTCCTCTACCAACTTCTCTCAGCACTTAACCAGCTCAGCTTGCTTTATTAATGATAAGGACCAACAGTAGGTAACTAAAATCTAAGAAGCTTTTAATAGGGTCTGACATTCCAATACCTAGGGTACGTACAAGGCAGTATCTTCCCACTGATGTTGTAAGGTAGGAAATCAGAGAAGCCACATTTTGAGAGGTTGAATCTTGGGAGTCTTTATTAAAAAGCTGGCAACTGCATGGTGGATTCTGTCTCAAAGACCAGCAGCCTGCAAATACACTTAACACAGTTAAGAAACAGGCCAGAGAAGAAAGAATGAACAAAAACAATACCAACAAACCAACTCAGCTCCAATGGAGAGCTGATTTGGGATGTCATGATGACCAGAGAACAGCCAGGAACCAGAGGACCGGAGACAGGAGACAAACATGGAGACGTGTGGCATGGGATAAGGGCACCTGAGCTGGTCCAGTCTTAAATAAGATCAGGTCAGGGGAAGGGTCACAGGAAACTCCCAGTCCCAGGCACTGGACTGACAGGTTTAGTAACCTACTAGCCAAGTTTCCGCCCCTGATTCAGGCAAGCCCATCACCTGGGAGATGGGGGCTTCCCCTTCCTCCAGCATAAAGACAAGATGCCAGACCCTACCATTCACCATGTGTCCAATGTGGCACCTGCCAGAACCTGACCTCCCTACTTTACTGACTCAAAAGTGAACGGATCAGCCTGCTTACAAAGCCATCATGCAAATGAAGGACTGTTTTTGAACCAATCACCTGCCTTCCACTGGGCCACCAAAGGAAGTAATCCCCTCTGTCCTGTGTAAGGATGGCTGCCAGGTTATCTACCATTAACCAACTCTTGATTTGCTTTGAGTGCTGCTTTTGCCAGCCTGGTGCTGGCTGTCTGGGATACACCTTCAAGTGTGGTTTATAATAGTCCTTTGCAGCTGTTCAAATATCCTTAAGAGTGAATGTAATCTACCCAAGAAGCCAGGCTACCAGGAGTGCAGTCCAACTGACTGCCAGAAAAGTTACTGCTGGCTGACAGTTTCTTTCTCCAGGCTCCCAGGAATAAGGGGAAGACCTATCAAATGGCCTATTCTTGACACTTTTAATCATTCACAGAAAACATTAACAGGATATTTATGTAAAGACTGAACTTGAAGCTCAACATAGAACTAACAGTTTTAATAGTGTTTAACAGTACTTAAGAATATTTAACAATGTTTAACAATTCTTAACTCCAGCCACAGTCCCCCAGCAAGAAGTGAGGTCCTAAGTTTTCTCATTATATTTTATTCAATCTGAAGAGCTTTCTTTATCCATTCATTGGAGATATGGGGCTGTTGATAAGTTTTCTTCCTTCTGTGTTTAGTCTTACAGTCCAGATAAGCTGGGTATGGTGGTATATATCTGTGTTCTGAGCACTCAGGAGGTTTAAAATTAAATACCAGCATGGGCCACATAGTGAATCTGAGGCTCCTTGTCTTAAAACAAAAGCAAAAACAAGCAAACAAAAATTAATCTGGGTTGGCAGGATATTTTTTAGTCCTGTTCAATTTTTAAAAATTTTTACAATGATGTGCTATGGCACAGGTGTATTTTCATTTATCCTGTTCAAGATTTGCTGATCTTGTTGAATCTGTACATTTATTTGCTTTTTGCAAAATATTAGAAACTCTGAGTCATTATTTCTTTTTTTTGTTTGTTTTTTTTTTTTTGGTCCGGTCGTGGGGCCTGAACTCTGGGCCTGGGCACTGGGCACTGTCCCTGCGCTCTTCAGCTCAAGGCTAGCACTCTACCACTTGAGCCACAGTGCCACTTCTGGCTTTTTTATTTTTTCTGCTTATGTGGTGCTGAGGAATCGAACCCAAGGCCTCATGCATGCAAGACAAGCACTCTACCACTGAGCCACCTTCCCAGCCCCATGAGTCATTATTTCTTCAAATATGTATTCAGTCACACATTCTTCCCAATCTCTTGGAATTTTTTTTTTTTTTTTGGGTCCGGTTGTGGGGCCTGAACTCTGGACGTGGGCACTGTCCCTCAGCTCTTTAGCTCAAGGCTAGCGCTCTACCACTTGAGCCACAGTGCCACTTCTGGCTTTTTCCTTTTTGCTTATGTGGTGCTGAGGAATCAAACCCAGGGCCTCATTCATGCAAGGCAAGTGCTCTACCACTGAGCCACCTTCCCAGCCCTCTCCTGGAATTTTTGTTTTTAAGTTTTGGGAAAAAGTGTGTTCGTGTACCAGTCCTAGGACTTGAACTCAGGGCCTAGACACTATCTCTGAGCTTCTTTACCACTTTACCACTTGAGCCACAGCTACACTTCTGGCTTCCTGGTAGTTTTTAAAGAAGACAACAGTCTCAGATGTTATATGGGAACTTGATCAGCGAGAATCAGAGAAGCTGCACTTTAAGACCCTTATTAGAAAGCCAGCCACTGCAAGCCTACTAGCATCAAAGAACCTGCAGTGCTCAATGTTGTTAACATGAGGCTTATAAAAGCAAAAAACACATCAAGGCAAATGCTGTTTTGTGTGGGGATTAGCAAAGCATGTTTACAGAAGCTAAACAAGCCAGTGAAGAGTTAACTAAGGGCAGCAGTTAGGGTTTGTTATAAGTTAACTAATTGGGACAATCAGTGGTTTAGATTTACTGGAATCCACAATCGTATCAATTAGGAATAAAGGATAGGGATTTCTTGGAGTCTGTCACTGGACACAGGTGAGGGTTTGTGAAGTTTCCCTTTGGAAGTAGGGACTCTTCACTTAGGGTCCTTGACTTGGATCACATTGGACAAGTCACAATGGTAGGAACACTCGGCAGAACTTTATTTAGTAAGTAAGCAAGTAGGCAAGCAGGCAAGCAGACAAAAGCAGATATATATACAAGCAGAAGAACAGAGGTGCACTCTGAATGAGGGTGCTCTTAAGGAAGAAGAGAGAGACACAAACAGCTCGTTGGCTATTGGGGATATTTATATTTATATGGGGGGGGGGTTCTGGCTTAAAGGTTATGCAAAGATAGGTGTAGTTTTATTTTTCCTCTCTCTAATCGCTCCTGGTGCTGCTTTCTCAGTTTCTGGATGTTTTGGGAGCATTCTTTCCAGTTAAGAGTGCATCCTGCCACGAGACAGATCCTTATCCTTGAGATAAGGAAGGCGACCTGTTGGGTAGGAGGTTGCTTACATTTTGGGGAGCATTTCTCTCAGGAAGGCATACATCCTGCCAAACCAATGTTAATTATTAGGGTGAGACATGCGTCTCTCAGGAAGGAATGCATCCTATTGCTTTTCTTTGGAACACAGATGGTACTTCTATTTCTGAGTTGGCTTCCACAGGCCTCATTTTCCTCAATTTATCCTGCCTCATTTTCCCCTAAATGACTTTGGTCCCTTAATCTTAAAGTAAGTAGATGAATGAATAGCTCCTGTATGTGCCGTAAGCTTACCATACCTCACTAGCCTATCCTGCTTCATTTTCCCCTACATGATTTTGTTCTCTTAATCTTTAGGGAAGTAAATGGACAAGCTTTAAGCTTGAGTGTTTTAATTCCTGGCAGTCAGTTACTGTGTCTCATTTGCCCTAGGCTATTCTGACTCATTATAATCCATGACATAGCTGGAGTTCTCCAAATGACCTATGCCCCATTTATAGTTTTTAAAATTGAGTGACATCTCCTGTTGCCTATTAAGGCATTAAGATAACAGTGGAGACAAGATGGTACTGCTTAGGCCCAGTATCCATATTTCATGGTCTTTCCTGCCAAGGCAAGCTTCAACTGATGATCTTCAGATCTCAGCCTCCTGAGTAGCTAGTATTACAGGCGTGAATGACTAACACCTGGTGAAACAGAATTAAAGAAGGAAGGGAGAGAATGATGACTTGTGGGAAATGAGAATTAATGAGATTTAAATAGCAACTATCTGAGACCTTTCTGATTTACTAGACCCAGCAGCTATTTTCTCTAAGACATTCAGATTGGATAATCTTCATTGGTATTTCTTCAAATTCACCTCCCTCTCCCTCTCCTTCCCTCTGTCCTTCCCGCCCTCCCTCCCCCCCTCCATCCCTCCCTCTCTTTCTCTCTCTTTCTCTCCCTCTTTCTCCCTCTCTCTTCCCCCACCACTCTCTCTCTCATGTGTTTCTTGTTCTGGGGCTAGAACTCTGGGCCTGAATACTGTCCCTGAGCTTTTCTGCTCAAGGCTAGTGCTCCACCACTCAAGCCACAGCAGCATTTCTAGCTTTTTTTTTTTCTTTTGTCTGTCGTCCGGCTTGAACTCTGGGCCTGGGCTGTCCCTCAGCTCTTCAGCTCAAGGCTAGCACTCTACCTCTTGAGCCACAGTACCACTTCCAGTTTTCTGGGTGGTTTATTGGAGATAAGAGTCTCATGAACTTTCCTGCCTGGTCTGGCTTTGAACCGTGATCCTCAGATCTCAGCCTCCTGAGTAGCTAGGATTACAGGCGTGAGCCACCAGCGCTCCGTACTTCTAGCTTTTATTGATTAGTTTATTGGAGATAAGAGTCCTGTGGAATTAATTTTAAAGCTGGGATAGCTTCAAACCACATTCCTCAGATCTCAGCCGCTTAAATAGTTAGGATTATAGGCCTAAGCCATGACCACTCAGCTGATTTACACTTTTCCATGTCCTCCTCATTCTGCTAATGACTTCAGTGAATTATTTCAATTACTGAAATTTTAGTTACTTGATCCTTCTTTAAACACCCTATTTTTTTTGGCTGACAACTTCTATTTTCTCATGGTTTAAAAAAATGTTCACAATTGCTAGTTACATTGTTTTCTGTATAGGTTCTGGGGCTTGAACTCAGGGCCTGAATACTGTCCCTGAGCTTTTCTGCTCAAGGCTAGTGCTCCACCGCTCAAGGCTAGTGCTCCACCACTCAAGCCACAGCAGCATTTCTAGCTTTTTTTTTTTTCTTTTGTCTGTCGTCCGGCTTGAACTCTGGGCCTGGGCTGTCCCTCAGCTCTTCAGCTCAAGGCTAGCACTCTACCTCTTGAGCCACAGTACCACTTCCAGTTTTCTGGGTGGTTTATTGGAGATAAGAGTCTCATGAACTTTCCTGCCTGGTCTGGCTTTGAACCGTGATCCTCAGATCTCAGCCTCCTGAGTAGCTAGGATTACAGGCGTGAGCCACCAGCGCTCCGTACTTCTAGCTTTTATTGATTAGTTTATTGGAGATAAGAGTCCTGTGGAATTAATTTTAAAGCTGGGATAGCTTCAAACCACATTCCTCAGATCTCAGCCGCTTAAATAGTTAGGATTATAGGCCTAAGCCATGACCACTCAGCTGATTTACACTTTTCCATGTCCTCCTCATTCTGCTAATGACTTCAGTGAATTATTTCAATTACTGAAATTTTAGTTACTTGATCCTTCTTTAAACACCCTATTTTTTTTGGCTGACAACTTCTATTTTCTCATGGTTTAAAAAAATGTTCACAATTGCTAGTTACATTGTTTTCTGTATAGGTTCTGGGGCTTGAACTCAGGGCCTGGGTACTGTCCCTGAGCTTTTTTGCTCAATGATAGTACTCTACCACTTGAGTCACAGCTCTACTTCCAGCTTCTTTGGTGGTTAAAGAGTCTCACACACTTTCTTGCCATGATCCTTAGATCTCAGCCTCCTGAGTGGCTAGAATTGCAGGTGTGAGCCACCAATGCCTGACTGGAAACTCAATTTTTTTTGTTTTCATTTCTTTTATGGCCAGAGATGTTGAACATTTCTTCGTGTGTCTATTGGCCACTCTGACTTCTGAGAAGTCTCTCTAAGTCTTTAGCTCATTTATTAATTGAGTTGTTGATTCATTGAGGGTTTATTTGGTGTGGGGTTTTTATGAGCTCTAAGTATGTTTTAGCTATGAAGCCCTTGTCTGATGCATAGTTGGTAAGCATCTTTTCCCTCTGTGGGTTTTATCTTGTTAGCTATGTCCTTTGCTATGCAGAAACTCTTTAATTTGATGTAATCCCATTTATGTAGTCTTTCTTTGATTTGTTCTGAATCTGGATCTTTACTTAGGAAGTTTTGACCCATGTCTAGGGTTTCTCTACTGTTTCCCCTACCCCTTCCTGTAATATTTCCTACCCCTTCCTGTAATATTTCCATGATATATGGCCTTACATTGAGGTCTTTGATCCAATAGAAATTATTCTAGTGCCAGGTAATATATACGGTTCTAGCTTCAGTTTTCTGCCTGTGGATAGCCAATTTTGCAAGCACCGTTTTGTTTGTTTGTTTGTTTGTTTTTTTAGGTCTAGTCGTGGGGCCTGAACTCTGGTCCTAGGTGCTGTCCCTCAGCTCTTCAGCTCAAGGCTAGCGCTCTACCACTTGAGCCACAGCACCACTTCCAGCTTTTTTCTTTTTGCTTATGTGGTGCTGAGGAATCGAACCCAGGGCCTCCGGCATGCAAGGCAAGCGCTCTACCACTGAGCCATCTTCCCAGCCCTGCAAGCATCGTTTGTTGAAGAGGTTGTCTTTCTCCCAACCTGAGCTTTTGGCTTCCTTATCAAATATTAGGTGGCTATATGTCTCTGACTTCATTTCTGGGTCTTCTCTTCTAGTTCATTGGTCCTCAGGCCTATTCTTGTGCCAATGCCAATCTGTTTTTATTAGTATAGTTTTGTAACAGAGTTTGAAGTTTGGTATTGATATTCCTCCAGCACTGTTCTTTCTGGTAAGGATTGTTTTTGCTATTTGGGGTCTTTTGTTATGCAATTTGAATTTTTGGATTGCTTTCCCTATTTTTTTTTCTTGTTTTTGGCCAGTCCTGGGGCTTGAACTCAGGGCCTGGGCCCTGTCCCTGAGCTTCTTTTGTTCAAGGCTACAACTCTACCACTTGAGCCACAGCACCACTTCCAGCTTTTTCTGTTTATGCGGTACTGAGGAAATGAACCCAGAGCTTCATGAATGCTAGGCAAGCACTCTACCACTAAGCCACATTCCTAGCCCTCTCTATTTCTTTGAAGAAGGTTTTTGGGATTTTGCATTAAATTTGTAAATTGCTCTGAACAGTACTGCCATTTTTACAATATTAATTCTTCCCATCCAGGAATAAGGGAGATTTTTCCATTTCCTTAAATTTGCTTCAATTTCTTTTTTGCAGTTTATTTTCATGTTTTCAAAATAAAGGTCCTTCACATCTTTGATTAATTCCTAGGGTTCGTTTGTTTGTTTGTGTCTATTACAAATGAAGTTGCTTTCCTCATTTCAGTTTTGTTCTTCTCTTTGTTGGCATACAGAAAAGCTACTGGTTTTTGTGGGTTGATTGTATACCTTCATACTTTGCCAAAGTTCCAGATCAACTCAAATAACTTGGGGGAGGCATTGACATTTTTTAACTTAAAAACTATATATCTCAGGCTGGGAATGTGGCTTAGTGGTAGAGTGTTTGCCTCACATGCATGAAGACCTGGGTTCAATTTCTCAGAACCACATAAACAGAAAAAGCCAGAAGTAGTGCTATGGCTCAAGTGGGAAAGTTCTATATATATATATATATATATATATATATATATATATATATATATGTACATACATATACATATATATATATACATACATATAATTATGCCAGTGGCTTATGTCTACAATCCTAGCAACTCAGGAGGCTGAGCTTTGAAGATTGTGGTTTGAAGCCAGCAAACAAATCCAAGTGGCTTTTGTCTCCAATTAACCATCAAAAAGCCAGAAGTGGAGGCATGGTTCAAGTGGTAGAGCATTAGCTCTATGGGGTTATTGATGAGCTCCCTGAGTTTTTGTATATCTCTCTATAAAGCCTCTATCCTAGAACTGACAACAGATGCAGAGTAAACATAGCTCTAAAAAACATTCCTAACCAGGTGCTGGTGGCTCTCACCTGTAATTCTAGATACTCAGAAGACTGAGGTTCAAAGCCAGATTGGGCAAGAGTCTGTGAGACTCTTACCCCCAATTAACCCCTAAAAAGGCTAAAGGTGGATCTGTGGCTCACATGATAGAGTGCTAGCCTTGAGCACAAAAGCTCAAGGACATTGCCCAGGGCCTGAGTTCCAGCTCCAGCCCCAGCACCAAAAAGAAAAATAAAGAAAATTCTGTTCTTAAGCATAGGTTTGAGAACAGATGATCTGATAGAAAACCTTTTAGCAATAACAGCCTCTTTCCAGCCCCAAAGCAGAAAACCCTCAGTGCCTCTTACCCATGCAGATGTAAGCAGTAACACTGTGAGTCCCAGGTCAGGTAGAATTGG